AAATCAATGGGTTATAATTCCATTTCGTTACCAATATTTAACACTTCTTGTAAGGGAACATTCACGACCTAGTTGCTACGTGAAACGATTATTGACAAATGCAAAACGAAAATCCATCAAATTATTCTTCAAAGAAATAATGAAATTTAACTTTTGGATATGAAAGACAATTCTCGCCTGTATCACTATTCAATATTTCATTAAAAGTCGTTTTTCATGTTGGCCAGAACTACGAAAATCGAAGATAGATTAATGATTTAAATTCAATGTTTTCACCTAAAGAAAAAAATGTAAACGGGTATATCATTTTTGAATAACACATGTATATCTAAAATAATAGTATTAATTAATATTTGCCTGGCATCAGAGGCACATTGATCTTACGATAGCGGTAGTTATGCAACGATACCATATTTTCATTATATTAAATATCAAAAGAAATATACTTAATTTCAGGGACAATTTCGAGTCGGTCTGAAATGATACACAATGCAATCTAATATGATTTTATTAGAAAGCAATATTAACCTGAAAAGAGACTTATTGTATTTAGATTCATTACTTGAAACGCGGGTCCTACTAGTCTTCTGGATGCTGATTCCTTTTTAAAGAAAATGAGGCTAATTTATTTCAATATTCGATGGACACAGTCTAGAAAGTATTGTATTAATGGGTTTAGTAAGTTCAATGTCTCTCATTAGCATAAATGAAGTTTATATATTAAGTCGATAAAGAACATTCATAAGTAGTTGAAAGTTACTATAATGGGGTAACAGAGGTGGTTAACTGGTCAGTATTGGTCTTCTCTCATCAGCAAACTTTCTTCTGCTATTAAGAAAGGATTAGTTTTACATAAATACGATTATTTTCTGTAAAAATATCTTTATTTGAGCATTCGTAGAGCTGCATAACACACAGTCGAGGCAAGATGGCATAACAATGAAAGTGAGAGCACTTGGGAAGTTGAGCAACTTATTTGAACGGGAATGCTTGCAGATAACAATTTACAAAGTCCACTGCAATCTCGAGAGTTCAAAGTAATCAGAAGTCCACTTTTCAGCTGATAAATCGCGTAATTCTACTTTACACAAAAATAAGTTTAATTCTTGTAAAAGAACAAGCACGTAATATTATCTGTTCGTAAAAATAATATAACACAGCGCCGTTTTTATGGAAGAGTATTAGTTTAAGGAATAGAGTAATATCATTGTTACTATGTAAAATACAAACATGGACTTTCAGTTCTTGAATTCAAGTGCTTTTACGAATATTGTCCCTTCACTTACACCAACATTCTGGGAAAGTCCTCACGATGTAACAGATATGCATATGAATTCTCATTGTACTGTACATTTCGTAACAGGAATGTTTTAGACGGAACCTGGACATGTGTATGAATGTCTCTCATATCAGTCTTCCATGCAACAACCGTGACAAAAATCACTCACGCTATAATAATCAGGCACACCCAATTGGAAGAACTTCTCCTCACCATCTTGCATTACAATATATATACATAACATGTCTTAGCAACAATGTTGCAAACTTGTTAGGCATGTAGGATTCGAAGACTATTGTTTTTTGACAACGAAGATGTGGTGGAAAAACCACGGCGTTATTCAGCCAATGTTTTGAAGAGCGCGCCGCTGCTTTTTAGGCAACACATCCTGCAGAAGTGCTGGCAGGTACACTTTTGACGCAGTCACGAGATTTTATGAACCTGTCAAACACCGGTACAGAACTTACCTTCCATACAGGGACGCTATGTATGCATACTTGTAACTACGTTTTATGAGTTACTCCACCACATGTTTGTCGGCAAAAGGTGATCATCTTCGACACCCTACATCATCTAGAAGTTTGTAACATTCATTCCACGA